CCAGATGTTGTTGCATGCTGTGCGGTGCTCCACAACCTCTGTTTTCAGAACGGGGACATTGTTGATCCAGAGGTTGTGGAGGATCCTGCCGATGACCCACCTGAACCCCAAAACACAAAAGCCAGCGCAGGAGAGGATGTGCGGGACAATCTGGCTGCAGCTGTGTCAGCAGCAGACAACTGTGTGCCTGCTCTTCATGAGCATGATTACCTGTAAGGCAGTTTAACAGGTTAAGACTCTGCAAATCAGTTCTTGTTCTCAGATTGACATTGTTTAAGTCCTATCTAAATGAACGGGGGAATCCTGAAATCTCAAAAACTGCTCGCTGAACTCGCGATTAAATTACCTATTTCAAATCAGTAAGAAATTCTGAAATGAACTGCCCCATGGATGTTGTTTCTTATGCTCAAATAGCATTTAAAAGCGTATTTCTCAGGCTGGACCAGCCAATTACGACTGCACATGCACAGTTATATCGCGCTTATGACTGCGCATGCGCAACAGGTTTCTATGGGAGTGTGTAACGGGTGTAACGTGAGCTTCTAAAGGCCGCTGCAGTGATGCAATGACTTTCCTGATCAGCGATTGGCTCTTTCATTTAGAAGGCGGGACTATTCCACTATATCGCGCATTGCAGTTTCTCCCATTCATAAGTATAGGATAGGGCTGTGCAAAAAATCGAATGCGATTTTGCGTAGCTTGTCAGTGAACTACGGCTCTGTGTAGTAAATGCCGCTCCATCTGAAAGCACGAGCTGGAGATTAACTACTAATCACAGAAGCGGCTTTACTGACGGGATGCGCATGACAATCGCATTCGATTGTTTTGCACAGCCCCAGTATAGGAGTGAACCGTCTTTGTATTTTTATGGTCAATGGTGCTACCCTGTCAGATTTTGCTAGCTCCCATTAAAACGGTTGGTAGCATAATTCGACAGCGAAAAATGCTACCTATCAGATTTTGCTTCCAGTATGATATTAATGTGGTGTGAGGCTTTATTTACGTGCACACCTACCCCAACCCTAAACCTAACCTTACAGTATTAAAAATGCAGTGTTGGTAGCAGCATTTTTGTTAGAACACCTGGCTGCGATGAAAGGATCGCAAGTTCTCCAGCAGAAGATCCTCCTTCATATCTCAGCACAGCCAAGAACTCTAAAATTAGGGCAGAATTCATGAATTCTTTGAAGCTGAGCGAAACATTTCACACACACACACCCTACAGCAGCCATAATTACACACCCGCTAATCCTGTTTCCCAAATCCAGGTGCCAATGGATCCATGCGGAAAATCCCGCGGCTGCACATTTTCTCCATCTGTCTCTCGGATCCAGTTTCACTCAAAGATCTGCGTTTGTCTTCAGCTCGGAGTCAAACTCAGAAACCTTTCGGCGTTCAGAAACTCACAAACATCTCCATTCTATCTTCATTTGCTAAAAATCTCTCTCGCAGTGACCTCAAGCTCCGGAACCAGCCTAAAACCCTCGAGTTCCCCGCAGAAACTGACAGCATATGGTCTGGATCGACATGAGGGTGAATAAATAATGACTCAGTCCTGATTCTTGGGTGATTTATTGCTTTAATCCATTTAGTGCTCATCTGTTCAGGATTTGAGGAACCGTGTTTCCTCCGGAGGTTCATTGCGATTCATCCAAACATGATGTGTTTATTGGGAGACACTTCACTGATAGACTGACCCACACTGTAAAAAACTACAGTGAATTTAACGGCAAAAGGCTGTAAAAATGCTACAGTAAAAACCTGTTAAATGGTTAACGGTAAATTCCCCTACTATAGACGGTGAAAAACTGTATTGGACATTAATTTTACGGTAGTATACCGTTTCAGTGAATAACCGTAAATTGACATTCCCAGAATTCAATGTTTCTTCTTAGTTTTTTCTTATCAGTTTTGTACATTAGGGTTGTGTGTTACACTTAATGTTGTTAAATGAATGTTTATTGCATTATTTCAGTTTCATGTGTGTCACCGTGATGGTGTTTAGTGTTTGTGTGAATGACACTGTGCACCTTCTATATATGTTATTATCTAAATTTGGTGGTTATCAGTTTATTACAAAGATACAAAACAGAGTTCAGTAATTCAATAGGTTGGTATATTAAGATTATATCAGTTAACGAAATTACGGTTTTTAACTGTAAATTTAAGTTAAAACCATAAAACCTAAAACTTTGCTAACGTATTTTTTACAATAAAATTCCGGCAACCACAGCTGCCGGGTTTTTTTTACCGTAAATTTTTTTTTACAGTGCAGATCAGTTTTGAATTAGTCCTTTTTATCTTGTTTTCCAGTTAAAATATCAAAAAAGCTGATATAGATGCTTCAGGAGCAGCGCTGCTTGAGATATCAAGGCTTGTTTTCAGAGAATGTGTGATTTCATTCACTGGAAAAGAGCGATTATTGAGAAAAGTTAAACAATTATCAAAATATGTATAAATATATTTTTTATAAAAAGCAATTAAAAATATATATTTTGCTCTCCATATATTTCAGTCGAAGAAAATATACTCTGCAATGTTTCAAAGAATAGTTCAATATTACAATATATCTAAAAATTAAACAATTTGAAATTATTATTAATCTAAATTTGACCTCTAGTAGGCTTTTCCTTCCACATTTGTATTTAGTCTAAATGTAGGCCATGCACTGTAAGATTGAAAATGTATTTTACAGCAAGTGAAGAAGTTTCTTGAATGCTGTCAGGGATTCAGATGCACGGATAGAATGGAAGATCATTTCATCAGCGAGGAACGAGGAATGAGAGGGTGATTTTGTGCCCTTTATAAATATCTAAATCTGAAATGTGTTTTGATGTGTGTCAGACCGACTTTTTCTCAATGTGTACTGTGAAAAGCGCTATACAAATAAATTGGACTGGATTGCAACTTTAACTACAGGCCAGATTTTAGAAAGACTTCAAATGTCGATTTACTGATCAACATCCATACAGCCTACAATCTTGAACATTCAGATTCATCATTTGCATTAATGGCTCCACAATGAACTTCTTTATATTATTAAAATATAATTTACACTGCAAAAAAAATGATTCTCTTGCTTAGTGTTAGTGTCTTGTGTTCTAGTATAAACATCTAAACATTCTTGAATCAAGATGCATTTACTGTACGAGTGAAATGACTTAAAATATTAAGAGTCAGCCAATCAGAATCAAGCACCGGAACTATCTGCCAATGGAGCAAGAAAAATAATCTTGTTTAGCCTTTGAATTAAGATTATTTTTCTTACCGCATTGGCAGATAGTTCCGGTGCTTGACTCTGATTGGCTGAGCCGTGTTCGAAGCTGTTGTGAATGACTCTACAAAGTAACACACACCTTTGTTTACGTCTGACAAGTTAAGACAAAAACTATTTTCTTTGTACGATGGCACCAGGAACCCGATGTGCTAACGCACTCGATTACTAGTCGAGTTTAATGTAAGAATGTGTTTCTGTGCTTCCTCTCACATCTGCTGGATCACGAGATGAAGCTCTGTGTTGGGTCCAGAGGGCTTCACGGGAGTTATTGCTTTATCATACTTTCATGAAAAAATATGAAGACAAAAACTATTTTCTTTGTACGATGGCACCAGGAACCCGATGTGCTAACGCACTCGATTACTAGTCGAGTTTAATGTAAGAATGTGTTTCTGTGCTTCCTCTCACATCTGCTGGATCACGAGATGAAGCTCTGTGTTGGGTCCAGACGGCCTGTGATCGGCTCGCTCCTCCAGAACTCTGTGTTCTGCTGGTCTCTGCTGGAGTCTCGCCATCTGTTCAGAGATCTGTGCGTCACACGTTTCCCTGCGGCGGACAGAACGAGTGCACCTCGAGACAAGACACAGAAGCACCTACTGACCGACGAGCAGCAGATCTGAACTCAGTTAACACTTACAGCAAACAGATTCTCCTGAAAACAGGGCTTCTGTGGAGTCTGCGTTCACCTGTCCACAAATAAAGGCTTTAAAGGTGACATATCATGAAAATCTGACTCCTCCAGGTTGTAAGTGCTATAATCAGGTCCCCGGTGCATCTACCAACCAAAGAAACGTGAAAAAGATGAACCCAGTCACTTTGTTTAGGTAAGTCTTTTTCTGCAAGCGTCTGAGAAAACCAGCGCGTCTGATTTCGCTCTCTTGGTGACGTGGCAAAGGGATCTCATTATAATATTACCACCCCTTAATCTGTAAGTTTACACCCACGACACCCTTATTGTGTTTTCACAAGCGACAACGGTGTAGCAGCTCTAACGCCATGATGAAAGTGTGAGCGAAGCATGCTAACTGTTCTGTGTTTGGCTGCACAGACGAGCACAGAACACTGTTTAGAGTCCCAGCCTCAGAGACAACAGAGCAGAGGATTTATTGATGTATTTACTGTATATTGCTGCTCCCACACAGATCCCAAATAAACATGTGCTTTATTTCCCAGCTGTTTACCTTCACAGACATAACCCACTGTTTTTGTAACTCGTGTGTTTTTAATGTAAACTTGTGTGTGAATGAGAACTTAGTTTAGTGCTCACATGCTGTGACAGCTGCTTTAAAAACGTTTATTTTTGATGCAATTAATCGTTTGACAGCACTAGTTATTTTAAGTAAATGATTGATTGTTCAGGTATTTGTATTGGAAAACGACAAGTTATTGGCATATTTTAGTATTTGGGAGCAGAGTAAAACTTGAGTTGAACTTTTTTTTCATAAAATGAATTATAAAGTAATTTGTTGTATTTTCTTTGAACCACAAGTGTTTGAAAATACATTCAGAAACCATATTGACGTATTGTTTTATATTAAATTTATTCATTACATTTTCTTGACCTGGTCTTAAAAAGTCTTACGTTTATCTTCATAAAACCTGCAGAAACACTGAGAAGGCAGCAAAGTCATAAATCCAGACGCTGGAGCTTCAGAGCAAAAGCATCTTTAATGAAACATCATCAGACGTGTGACGGAGCTTCAGTTCATTAACACTTCACACTCACACACTCCAGAGCTTCAGTCTGAAGCACACAAATCCAGGAACAAGCACAGACGTCACCGGAGCTGTGTCAGCTGAGCGAGTCCAGCTGAGTCTGAATCATCTCCATCTGTAAGACACACACAGAGCCGAGAGCGTCTGAACGCACTGAAGATCAGGATTCAGCGGCACTCAGTCTGACCTGATTGTAGAAGTCCAGCAGATGCTGATGGTTGAACTCCACAAACACGTCCTGCAGACGCTGAAACAGAGATAAAAGCACCTCGTCAATTATTAGCATGCGTCTGTCCTGTAGAATCACTGAGTGCACATGTGACCCGTTTGTGAAAGTGTCATGATCATATCCATAAAATATCAACAACACACTCTGAAATAAAACACTTGAGCAGCAGAGCAGCGTTCGCTCTCTGATGAATCCGCAGGGAGAAATAAAGAAGAAACTGACACGATGCAGAAATAAACATCTGAGTCTCTGTATATGAAATATTATCGATATGACACTATGAGAACAAAACTAGAACTGAAGTGATGTGAATAATGACTCGGTTGTCTTTTGTAGAGCTGCTTATGGCTGAAATTGAATTGCATATTAACAATCTAAGAATTGAATTTGTTTGATAATTGATTCACATTACAACATTTGACAATTATGTAACTGAACTGAATCTGAATTGAGCTAAATTATGACACTTTGCCCCCTGGTTTCACAGACAAGGCTCAAGCTTTAAAGTGTAAGTCTAAGCTGTTTTAACTGAAAGTAACTTGCACTGATTGATCTTAAAATATATCAGTGCCTTTGTTTTGTCTCGAGATGCACACCAGTAATGTTTTATTCTAAGGCATGTTGATGAAAATGACTTAAATGTCCTAATTGAACTACGGCCTAATCCTGGCTTAGTCTAAGCCCTGTCTGTGAAACCAGGCCATTGTCTTGTGCTTAATAGCTAAGAATCGAATTTTGAATTTCAAATCAAGAATTTAAATAGTTAACATGAACTTCGCAACGCTCACTCTATAATTGAATTGAACTAATCTCAATAATGACTCTATTGTGTTTTGTAGAGCTGCTTACAGCTGAAACTGAATTTCAAATTAAGAGTTGAAGAATTTAATGTTTTATAACTGAATAACTTGATAATGTTATTGAACTGAATTGATCTGAATGACGCTTGTCTTCTGTGGAGCTGCTTTACAGCTGAATTATGACATAATTGTTTTCTGTAGAGTTGCTTTATAGTTAAGAATTTAATTTATTTTATAATTGATTAATTTCGCAACATTGACTGTTAATGAACAGAATTTAATCCAAATTGAGCTGAATTGTGACATGACTGTTTTCTGATTGAGTTGATTTATAGTTAAGAATTGAATTTTGAATTAAGAATCAAACAATTGAATCTGCTTTATAGTTAAACGTCGAAACATCAACGGTTAGTGAACTGAATAATGATTCAATTGTCTTCAGTAGAGCTGCTTATAGCTGCAATTGAATCTTACATTAAGAATTGAAGAATTTAATTAGTTTGATAATTTATTCACATTACAACATTGATACTTATTTAACTGAACTGAATCTGAATTGAGCTAAATTGACACTTTGTCTTCTGTCGAGTTGCTTCATAGAATTTCGAAATTAAGAATCAAAGAATTTAATTTGTTTTATAATTGATGAATTTTGCAACATTGACTGTTAATGAAGTGAATGTAATCCAAATTGAGCTGAATTATGGCATGATTGTTTTCTGATTGATGGTTAAGAATCAAATTTCGAATTAAGAATCAAACAATTGAACAATTATCTTCTGTAGAGCTGCTTTACAGTTGAAATTCAATTTGTGTCATAATTGATGAATTTTACACTGTTTTTTTCCTGTTTATCTCTGTGAAGCTGCTTTGAATCGATCTGTACTGTATAAAGCGCTGTAGAAATGTCTGAAAGAGGCCGGAGTCTCTGCGGGCAGGAACATGTCAGAATGCATTAACGGAGAGGACATTAATTAGACACAACATTATCATCCATAATTAAGAGTAAAAGGGGAAACGTTATCTTTAGCAGAGCCGCTGGAGATATGGCTAATATGTAGGACAAAAGTGGAATACGGCCGTCACATGACAGAAAAATAACACTAGTCTGATGATTGCTGGGAAATACAGTTCAAATATGATCACTGTGTGTGTGTGTGTGTGTGTGTGTGTGTGTGTGTGTGTGAGTGAGTGTGTGTGTGGTTCATACACATGGGATGGCAGTGAATGTGTGTCAGGAATCAAGGGTTAATTCCAGCCTCAGGTTCAGTAAGTGTTTTGACGTATCTAGGCTAACACTAATGGCTCCTGCGTGCTTTCAGAGCTGATGGTGGAAATCACAGCTCTGGGGACGATCACTGACTGTGATGACAGTCACACACACATACACACATACACAGCAAACGAAAGTGTTTTGAAATGAAACATTAATGGCTGCTGCTGATTCAGAGATGGACACAGAAAAGCACTTCACACAAACACCGACTGCATCTCCATCACTGACCTCAGTAAAACTCCAAACAACACGGTAAAATACGGTAAAAACTCACAAACAGAGCTAAAGCACAATAGATCTCTCCAGATCAGTTGCAAACAGCGTTCAACACAAACGTACAACAGCTGAGAAGCAGCCGCGCATCTATAAAGCCTCGCTGAGTATTTTTAGCTCTAAAGCTCTTTATGAAGAAATGTTCAGCATATGGCAGATTAAGATGAAAAATGCGAGCAAACGGCTCATCTGATTGTTGTGTCATTCCCTGTAAAAACAACCACATTTCAGAAACTTCCCCAGCTCAAACTTCAGATTTTTTTAGAAGAAAGACAAACATAAATGGTTAAGAAAGCCAAAATATTAAATGTCATGGATGAATATTTACTGAGCAATGCACTGTTTTGTAGAGGGGGGTCAAAATGACAATGATCACCTGAGATTCAGAGCCAAATTACAGGAGGATAAAATGACTTCAGAAAGATGGCAGCATCATATATTATTTTCACACAGAGATTGTTAGCTCTATTAGTGAAATCTGTTGACTTTAGTCATCTGTGTTGCATTATTTGCCAATGGTGACCGTTCAAAAATGGGAAATTAGCACTTTTCGTGTTTGTTTTTCCATAGTTTGCATGGCTGTAACTCAAGAAGTATTAAAGATATCTTCATATCCTTTTAGATTTTAATTCTCAACAAACTTATCTTTTGATATTTCCATTTTTCAGGACCTGTATGATTAAATTACAGAGATACTGGGATCTCAATGCAGCTCCAGGAGTAAAGTGTGCACATTTTCAGTGGCACTACTCTGCAAATATTCATCATGACATTTAATATTTTGCATTGTTTTCTTCATTCAAGCATTTCTTTCACTAAACATAAAAAGATCAAAATCAAAGCCAGGAGTCTTTTGCAATAGAATGACCCAATTTCATTTCCCGAACGCAATTTGGTTGCAGCATTTAGAGACAAACAACACATAAAAATACAAAAACACATAAGAATGCGTCAGTGAGAGAAACAGCATCTCCAGCTGGAAATATTAGCCTACAGTAGTGTCGCTCAAATGGCCAAATTCACATTGAAAAAATGAAGAACACGGACACTGAAAGACTCCAGACAGACACAGTAAATCTGAAGAAACTCAAGCGACTCTATCAAATATGACTGAACGAGGAGAGAGTCGAGTGCAGAATTGACTCACTGAATCACTGAATCAAATGATTCAAACTCCTCCACTCCATTCAAACGGATCCAAATGCCATTCAAGTGAGAAACTGGAACAATTTAATTCTATTCAAGTTTATTTGTATAGCACTTTTCACGATACAAATCGTTGCAAAGTAGCTTTACAGAAAATTCAAGTTTCTATTTTAAACTAAGGGAAAGGCTCTCGTCTCTCTCTCATTTGTTTGGTAAAGATGCGGCGAGCCGGACAGACCACGCTTCCTGTATTAGAATAAGCCATATCCTCTGTTTTGGTTCAATAAGAGCACAGAGCGTCAGGTTGACGTGACTGTCAGAGTGGCCTGGATTCACGCAGCTGTTTTGTTTGCGAGCCGTCGAGGGGAAAAAGCCTCATTGTTCTATTGAGGTTCTTATGTCCCTAAAGCGGGATGAATGGAACGGGGCCAAAGCGGATTTTCACACGCTCGTCCCACTGCGCCGCTGTACAGTAGAGAACGCCGCGATTGTCCCGCGCTCGCTCAGAGGCTTCACCTTGACAGACGGATGGGAGGCCTCTCCTCCTCCAGAAACACATCAAAACTCTGGTCCTCCAGACACTGCTGGGAAAACTGCAGAAATATGACCAGACGTCCGAAACCAGTTCACCTTTCATTCATATGAGTCTAGTTCTGATGAGTCGATAAATAATTGCTATTCAAAATGCTTATTATTTGTGCAACAGTGCAGAAAACAAGCAATCAAAACCAGCTGTGTTTGACTTCTTCATTCGTGTTCACAGTGAATAGGATTGCAAAGGGGCGAAACGGTTCTGGTCAAATTTCCGGAAACTTTACAAAAATTTCAGAAAGTCTTCTGGAAATTTTCCACCTTTTTGCAACCCTACTAGTGAACGAGTCATTATATTTAGGGGTTCAAGCACGTCACTATGTGACGTGAAACCCTATTATAACCCTGAAACCCTATTGTAATTGTAGGGATTTTTATTATTATTATTATTATTCCCTAAAACTGATCGTGGAGATCAAACCCTAAGAACTAGAAAGCTGAAACTTTGTCAGAAGTTAGTAGTATTGACTGCCACTCAGATCCAAAGACTTGGCCCAATCGGCCTATAGGGGGCTCATAACTCCTAGACCGCTTGTCAGAATCCTTGTGTCACGAAACTCGGTACACATGTGTAAGAGCTCAATCTTTGGTCAAATAAAAAAATTGTCCAGCTCTGCCACTTGGTGGCACTATAAGATGGGGAAACATAAAAACAGCTATAACTACGCAAGAGTTAGTCCAATTGACCTGAAAATTGGTATGCAGTGTCTTTGTCCAATGTGCCGCAAGGGTCTATGAGGACATTGGCCTATCTCAAAAAACATAGCCGCCATCGGCTAATGAAGTTTGAGCACCTATTAGACAAGGTTAACGAAGGCCGATCAGAACGAAACTCGTGGGCATGTTCGACCCATGGCCCTAAAGGTCTGAAAGAATTTTGAAAGAAATCGGCCAATGGGGGCGATATTGCATTTTTCAAGTGTATAAATGAT